TCAAAATACCATTTCTGAGAACTTTGTAGGAAGCAGCAGGGGACTGTAGGCCCACAGAGGCGAACCTATTCAGCCTCCTGCCCTTGCAGAAATCACTCACTTCCCATCCCAGCCAGTGTCAGGCACAGCTGTAGCTAATTCCCAGTGGGGCAACTTAGTTTAGCCAAGACCTTCTCTGATTTGCCTGAACTATGATAGGCTGTGTGGCTTTGGGGGAATCACTCAGCCTCTCTGAGCCTCAGTGGGAAAAAGGAGATGCTGATTGTGTCTCCCTCTAAGTCAGTGGTTCTCAACCTGGGCTGCACATTAGAATCACCTGGGAATCTTTTTAAAATCCTGATTTCTGGGCAGAGGCCAGAAAAATTTGAGGCCCCCTGTCCCTCCGCGGGGCCATGATTACATACATTTATCCGTTGGGTGTGTCCTGGGGGCCTACTCCGGGTAAGGCAATTGATAGATGAGGAAAGGTGGTCCAGGGGATGGGGGGCTCAGAGAGGTTGGGAGATGTTCCCCAGTGTAACACAGCCAGTGACTGAGCTGGAAGAGAACCCAGGTGTTCTGGGTGAATTGTGCTTTTCCATTGTACCAAATCCAAAGACCAGCGGTCTGCCTCTGAGAGGCATGTGGAGGGAGTTAAGAGCCCGGACCCCAAAGCCAGACGCTGGGCTGGAAGCCCTGCTCAGCCACCGACGTAGCTGAGTAAATGGTCGCGCAGTTCTCCACCTCAGCGCTTCAGGTGCCCTCTGTAAAATGAGGGTAACGGTGCGCCCACCTCCTCAGGTTATTGCCAGGATTAAATGAGTTACCAACTGCAGGAGGCCCAGAGCATGCCTGGCACATAGGAGGCCGGCAAACTCCAGGTATTATCGCCGGTAAACATGCCAGGCTGTACTTGCGGCCCTGCAGAGCCACTCCCTTACAGAAGGCAGAGGTTACAAATGCTGGCAAAGCTCAGAGGTCCTCCAGCCGGCCCCTGAGGCGGGGGAACAGTCCAGGCCCAGCCCTGGGAGTGACTGGCCCAAGGTCGTGCAGACCGAAGACCAGTCTTCCTGAGTCCTCGCTCGCGGATGACCCGCTGCCTGTCTGCTTTGAGACCCACGCATTGCACGATGCGATGCCCTAGGAGAGAGACAGTGTGTGTGACAGGCAGTGACAAATCCAGGAGGAGGAGAGTTGGGCGTCTTTCCTCCCGGACTACCTTCCTGGGGGAGGTGAGCTTGCTGGAACCTCCCAAATTGAGAGTTAGGAGGAGCAGCAGCCCACCTTGTGTCTCCTGCCGATGCCACGCCTTCCGTAGGGACTCAGCACATCTGGGCCCGCCACCCCTTGCACCCCACGCTGCCGCAAAGGAGGGTGCTGAGCCTTGCTGGGGATGAGATCACCGCCTGGAGCAGCCTTCCTGCGTGGCTTAGGCTCCGGCGCCACCTTGTGGCCATGGGCCTGCACGGTCTTTGCACAGAGGCTGGTGCCCCAGAGGTCACTTGGACCCACTCTGAATTTTACGCATACCTCTCAGTTGTCTACCCGGGACGCAAAGACTTAAGACAGCGGTTCTCAACCTGTGGGTCGCGATCCCTTTGGCGGTCGAACGACCCTTTCACAGGGGTCGCCTAAGACCATCCTGCAGATCAGATATTTACATTACGATTCATAACAGTAGCAACATTACAGTTATGAAGTAGCAACGAAAATAATTTCATGTTTGGGTCACAACATGAGGAACTGTATTTAAAGGGCCAGAAGGTTGAGAACCACTGACTTAAGAGAAGATGAGTTTTCAGGAGCCAGAAGGGGCAGAATAAGTAGAAGGCACTTGATCAGGAAATTCTAGACTGGACTCCAGGGTGGGAGGCTGTGTAAGCACGATTTCCAAATTAGGTTTCAGACTGATGCAATCTGGGCTCCCAACATCCCTTTGCTCATCAGCACTGGGGAGAGAAGCTCTGGTTTCTCCCACTCGCACCTTTATTTATTTGCATACATTCCCCTGGATGCTCGCACAGAGGAAATTTGAGTTTGCTTCTCTGGTAGGCATTCTCATTGAGTCAGCATGTTCTGGGCTCATTGCTGTCCATTGCCCTGGCCAAGATGGGCAGAGGGGCTGGTAACTTGGGGCAAATGGGAGCTGGAGTGACAGGTCAGGTGCTGCTTTTGCCCTGGGAGGGCCGACCTAGGTGAATCTGAATGTTGCTGTTACTTGACCTGGGACCTGCCTACATAGGCTTGGCTGCCACATCATCATTTCTCCACCATGGTCCACTTTTTGAGGCTAGGAGAGGAAGAGTCTGTGGTCTGAGAGTACCCCTGAGAGAGCATAGATCTGTGGTCTGGTCCCTGTGGGAGTCTGTGGCTCATGGCATTGGGTGTTGCAGGTGCCCATGTAGGTAGAGTTGAGTGTTGGATCACGGAAACCACATCTGACCTGTGAGGCCACAGGCACCAAACCTCCGCGGGCACATGGCTGGCTGTTCTGGGTGCTGGTGCAGAACTTCTGGACTCGCAGCTCTGCCTCAGTCCCTCAGCCAGTACCCCCTTGTCCCCCCGTCCCCACTCTGCCTTCCCAAGCCACCCTCAGATCTGCTCAATCTGACCCTTCTCTCCACCCTTGATGCAGTCTGACCTCCTCAGCCCCTTGTGACCTGTCTCCGTATCACCTGCCTGCCCTGCCCAGGTTTATTGTTGCCATCGCCTCTTCCAGTTGACCCTCTCCTTCAGGCCCCCACATTTTGGCACTGCTTTCCTCTCCTTTCCCACTTTCTCATTCCTCCCCACATCCCTCTCTCTCTTTCTATGTCCCTTTCCATCTCTCTTTTTGCCTCTGCCTCTCTCTGCCTCTCTCTCCCTCTCTCTCTCTCTCTCTCTCTCTCTCTCTCTCTCTCTCTCTCTCTGCCCTGGGCAGGCACAGTAATCTCCCTGCCCTTTTCTGAGCCCCTTCCCTGCTGCCTTGATTTTGGGAACTTAGCGACTAAGGCTGAGAGAGAGGCCATGGCTCATGCAAAGTGCCACCGCCAGTAAGTGACAGAACTTGGAACAGAACCAGAATCCGGTGCTTCATTTCACTCCCCAGCCTCAGTTTCCCTATGTGTTAAATGATGCTAACCAGCCGGTCCCACAAGGCCTGGCAGGGACTCCGGAGGTGATGGGCCCAGAAACACCTGCCCTGGGCCTGGTGCACCTGCCCTTCTCCCAGCCCCTCCCCGGGCGCCCACTGCAGTCGTCCTCCCCAGTGCCTGCACCTCCCGCCTCCCTGCCTTTGGTTTCCTGCAGAACTGTTTCTCCACGCACTCCTGGGAGTGTGTCTGTAGGGAAACAGGTGTCTGCCCCAGCTCCCCTGGGTGTGCCTTCAGAGACGCTGCGCCCGGAGGCTCCCAGGAATCCAGAGAGACAGACGCCCATCGGGTGTTGGGTGGGTGCGCATTGCCTGCGTGCTGGTTGTAGGCTTGGAGGGTTGCTTTGTGTTCTGAAGCACAGCCTGGGGGACCCCGGGGCACTGGGTCATCGTGAGGTCCAGTCCTTGATTAGCGCTCTGGAGGGAGGCCCACCGTTTGGAAGTAGGGAGGAGCGTCCCTCATTGCTCCCAGGGAAATACACAGCCCCTCTCAGCCACCGGCATTATGATCCCTGTCGTAAGTTTGCTGCAAATGTGAGCATGGGCTGCCTTTGCCATATGGTGACAGAGTCGTCCCAGGAGTCCTGTCTTCCTTCTGTATCTGTAGACACTGGGGACAGGGCGTGGACAGGCAGGCTCGTGTGCTCCTTGGAAAGGTGGGATAGAGAATGGGAGGGGAGGCTGGAGGGGCAGGCAGGGTCCCGTGAGCCAAGGGAGGAGCTGGGGGTTTGATTCTAAGCATTACAGGGGGTGACCTGATTGCATTTACGATTTACAAGGAGCACTGTGTGAAGAGCGATGTTTCTGGGGCCAGAGTTGGTGCTGGGACACCAGTGAGGACTTCACTTCGATTCAGGCAGGAGGGATAGTGGTGGGGACCAGACAGGTGGTGATGATGGGACAGAGAGAAGGGACAAGCCCACGGCCCCAGGTGGGCACCTGGCAATGCTCAGGTAGTGGGGACGATGTCAGGCATCAACCGTGTTCTCAGTCTCAACGATTCAGGCTTGGCTGTGTAGGAGGCCCAATGATTACATTCCCTGGGATGGTCAGGGACGCATGTGTGGCTCCATACGATTGGCTGAGGGCCCTGGTTTGTGGTTCGTGATCTTGATCCTGATTGGGCCACAAAACCATGCTTTCTGAAGTTGCTTTTTCCTGGCCCGGCCTCAGAGACCACTGGCCGACTTAGTACCTTGGATCCCCCCCCACCGCCTCCCCGTGACTGTGGCTTGGAGACAGCTCCCGAAGGTTCGGGTAAAAGTGAGGCAGGGAGTTTTCTTACTGGACCCAGGATGTGCGCCCACCATCTTTATCTCCTTAACCACCCCCAAGTTCGACTCTTTTCCCATGTTAAAGAAGAGTAGCAAGACACAGAGTTGGAGTGATAGTCCAAGGTCCCATTAGCAAGCAACTAAGTTGGGGTTTGAACCTGCATCCTTTGCCCCGTGTCCTCTCCAATGGAGGGATCAGTGCGTCTGTCTGCCTGCGCCGTGGCCACACCTGGACACAGCCTCAGGGTCTCCCTAGTGTGGAGGACACATGAGCTTTGCTGTCCAATGGCCTGGGGCCGACTCCGAGTTGCTCCACCCGCCGACTGTGGGTCCCTGCCTGTTCCCACTCTGTGCTGTGTGGGGACTACACCTGCCTATGGCCTGTGCCCTGCCATGGTACTGAGTAGGAGCTCCACAGAAGCCACCCAAAGCCTTAGCACCATGTCCGTGTCCGTGGGCTCAGAAGACCCCTAGAGCTGGGTCAAGTGTCAGGAAAACCTCAGAGTGAAGGAGAGACACCAGCATAGCTGGCTCTGGTTTTAGGGGGCAGCATGGCCCTTCCAGAGCCCCACCCCCACCCACGCTCTCTGTTCTGTTCATCTCTCTCGGCAGGTATATCCGCACCATGTACCTGGGGATCCAGAGCCAACGGCAGAAGGAACACCAGCGACGCTTCTACTGGGCTATGATGTATGAATATGCAGACGTCAACATGTTGCGCCTCCTGGAGACCTTCCTGGAGAGCGCCCCCCAACTGGTGCTACAGCTCTGCATAATGATCCAGGAGAACAGCGCCGAGACGCTGCCCTGTGAGTGCCCCGCCCCCAGAGCCGGAACCGTGGGCTGGGGCAGGCCCCCATCCCATCTGGGGACCCCCGGTGGCCATTTCCTATACACTCCGTGCCCCACAGACTCTGTGGGTGTCGCCCATTCTGATCCCTGAGTCCTTGGGATGCCCAGGCCCCCATGGGGTGCTGACCCGGCCCACATCAAGTGCATGAGTGGCACAGACCTTTCCCAAACACCTTTGCCCACTGCCCACTGCCCACGCCACTTTGTTCTAATGAGTAGAGCAGAGCCAGGGCCTCTCATGTCCCTGGAGCAGCAGAGCGAGGGCCCTGGTCCCCTTGGGCCGTTCCTTCGGTGCTAGCCTGAGCTGAGTGTCCCTACGTATGCAGGATGGGGAGCTGCCCAGAGATGGCACGTGACGAAAAGACTAACTCACCGCAGCAGCGGTTTCAGACATTGTGAAGCTGTGGCTCTTGCTTCAAATCAAAGCTCACATAGAAGCCCCATTTATAAAACAGGCTCCGGTGGCTCTGTTCTAGTTAGATGGGGGCCAGAGCCCGGCACACTCCGCCCCCTGGCCTTCTCCCCGGTCCCGGCCCCTGTGGCCCCAGGTGGTCTCCCAGGAACCCCGGGAGCCCCCAGCGCTCAGCCTGGATGGCACTGGTCTCCACGGCAGCAGGAAGTCCAAGGCCTGGTGAGGTGAATCTTCCCTGGACAAGGTGGATTCTCACCCCAGGTCTCGATGGTCAGACCGGCCTTGCTCCCCCATTGAGGGAGCCCTCTGGGCCCTGGTGACAGCATGAGGTGCCTGGGGCAGGCGTCCTTCCTGCTCAGGAAGCCTCCACACCCACTGCCCTCAGCTCCCCAGGCCAGGGCGACATGCTCCAGGGGGCACATTTGCTGGGGGCTGGGCTAGGCCCCTTTCTTTCCCATCCGGGTCCTCCTTTCTCCAACCCTGTTTCAGTCTGAGACGCCCCCCCGCCCCAATCCAAACTGCCCTTTGCTGTTTCAGTTTCAAATCTCCCTCCCCTACCCCACGGCCCAGGCAGCCAAGATGTCCTTCCAATGTTTGATCACATCCCAGCACCACAAATAGACAGGGCAGGTGGCAGGGTGACACAGGGGTGAGCTCCCAACAGGGCATTGGTCCCAGCCGGGGTCCTGGTCACCATGTGGATCCTGCGGTGACGTTGGAGATGGCCCTTCACCTTTTCGAGGCCTCCTTTCCTCTTTGGAATAAGCGCGGGGGCGGGGGGGGGCAGTCATCCCGGATATTTTGGGGATGCAGTGATGTAATGCCCGTGGATCACTTTGAAACAGTCAGACTCTGCAGGAACCTCAGGGGTGTGCTTGTCACATCCAGGCGGGCAAGGTCCTAGGGGGGTCCCCCACCCCACCTGTGGGCCATCCCTGCTGAGCGTGTCCTTTCTATGATAGTTTCTCAGACTATAAGCATGGGCTGCACCTGAAATCCCTGGAGAGGAAGCTCAAGGGGCAGCAGATGTTGCTTTCTCTTGACCTGGGAGCCCAGTGGGGCCAAAGTCAGTGAAGGCCAAGGGGCTGCTTGGCAGTGTGCCCCCAGCAGGGGCCAGGGCGAGGAGCTGGAGTGGCAGGGTCGCGGGCTCTGGGGAACTCCCTGGCCCTTCCCCCCACGCGCCCCTGCAGCTCAGAGGTCGGGTGAGCATTCGCCCACGTTCGTTTGGTGTACGGAATAGGTACTTCTTGAAAAAGTCTTTCGTGGTTCAATACGTTTGGGAACCGCTGGCTAAACAAAGGTCAGTGGCTGTCTTTGCTGTTGGTTGTAAACCCCCAAACAGGGACTGGGTCTGTGGCATAAGCAGGGTTAATGGGAAGGAAGGAGCTGAGGGGCTTGGCATTTTGCTTGTCCATCACTTTCACCCGTCTGTCCTCACCGCACCATTTCGTTAGATAACAGGTGCCTTCCCTCTCTTTCCCCATTGGAGGCTGCATAGCATGTATGTGCTTTAAAGAAAATCAGTTCAAGCATTAGAAATTGGAGGAGGGGAGAGAACGTTGTGAACTTGAGAGGGACCCAATGGCCACACGGAAGGAATCTCCCAGCCCAGACACCTGGGTGCTCCGTGCGCGGCCCACTGGACAGGAGGCCAGCTCCCGCTCTGCTGCCCGATCGCTGCCGGGCTCTGGGGAGGGATGGCCTTTCTGTTCCTTAGTTTGGTCGTTTCTGAAATGAGGGTGATGATAGCACCTACACAGAGGGCTGTTGTGAGCATTTAATGACATGGCAAGTGTCAGTGCCTCGTACGACATCTGGCTGTTTTGCTGTTGGTGGCAGTAGAGCTCATACTGTAGATACACTGTGTGAACTGGACTGCAGCTTTACCAGTGGGACCCATGCTGACTGGCCTTGCTTTCGTTGGCCTTTGGGGACACCTGTCCACCTTGTGCCGCTCATGCTAGTAGATGGTTAGAAAAATCACTATCACCTAGCAGTGGGTTTTCTGTTGATCTTGTCCAATGCCAGCCTCTCTAACGTTTGCCATCTCTCCACCTTCTAGTCCTCACTTATTGCTGGGTGAACAGTGCAATAGTCAAGCCTGCAATGTGGATTGTGTCCAGTTTTCCCATAAATCAGACTCAAGTGAAAACCCTATATAATAAAAGCCTAATATGCTAAGTGCCTGGTTGTCCATTCAACCAATCAAAGTGTAATATGCTAATAATATGCTAAGGCCGTTCAACTGGTTGCTATGATGTGCACTGACCACCAGGGGGTAGACACTCAGTGTAGAATCTGCCCCCTGGTGGTCAAGTGAGCTCCCACAGGGGGCGCGCTGCTCAGCCAGAAGCCGGGCACATGGCTGGCGAGAGCAGCAGCGGTGGTGGGAGCCTCTCCCGCCTCCATGGTAGTGCTAAGGATGTCCGACTGACGGCTTCCAGTGGTTCTCAACCTTCTGGCCCTTTAAATAGAGTTCCTTATATTGTGACCCAACCATAAAATTATTTTCATTGTTACTTCATAACTGTAATGTTGCTACTGTTATGAATCGTAATGTAAATACCTGATATACAGGATGGTCTTAGGCGACCCCTGTGAAAGGGTCGTTTGACTGCCAAAGGGGTCGCGACCCACAGGTTGAGAACCGCTGGCTTAGACTCACTCCCCAGACATCCCCTGAGGGCTCCCGGACTGCGAGAGGGTGCAGGCCAGGCTGAGGGCACCCCCCAAGTGCACAAATTTGTGCACCAGGCCTCTAGTATAATAATAATAATAATGATAATGACCCATACAAATATTATCCTAGAGTCATTTGGGCATTTCAGCGGGGTCTTCCTTAAATCTGATGTCTTGGAATAAAGATAAAAATAGAGCAATAAAGGGAACATATACTGATGCACCATTTACACTGGTATGAGTCTCGTGTCTGCTGGCAGCTCTGTCCTGGGCTAGACCCAGGCTTGGAAGGATGTCCGGAACTGTGGGCAGTCAGGCAGAGCCTCAGGCAAAGTCCACCTTGGCCATTTACCGACTTATGACACGGGGCAAGTTAACTTCCCAACTGGGTGTCTTCATGCGTGAAGTGGGCATAGTAACTGCTTTGGGAAGTATTGTAGAGGTCTCATGAGCTGCACATTTGCCTTCCAGTACCTTGCCTGGCATAGTATGGGTAGTTATACAGTCTCTCATTCAACAAAGATGCATTAAATCAGGTGCCCTAAACGTTCCATGGGCAACACAGAGCATGACAGACGTGGTCCATGCCCTCACACATCTCCTATCTCTGGGGAGATAGAATGAAAACAATTAGAAAGAGGACATGTGGTAACTGCTTTGGAGCAAGCAAATATGGTGCTGAGACCGAATGACACAGGGCGGGGCTCAGGGAAAGCCTCTCCAGACAGCTGGCATCTGAGCTGTGTGTCAATGAGAAGGAGCCAAATCTAGGAAGAGAAGAAGAAACAGCCTTCCAGGCAAAGGGAACACATATACAAAGGTCCTGAGGTAGAAAAAGCCTGGCTTGTTCTAAAAAGTGTAAGGGCCCAGCATGGCTGGTGGTGGGCAGTAGGGACGAGCTAGGGAGGAGAGAGGCAGGGGAGGACAGAGGGGCAGGCAGGAGCCTGGCCAACCTGGGCGGGCTGAGCCCAGCAAGGAGCTCGGGTTTAAACCAAGCGCAGTGGGAAGGCTTACAAAGGAAAGCTATACAATCAGATTTGCTTTTAAAGAAGATTCCCTTTCCTGCTGTGCAGAGGGCAGAGCTGAAGCTGAGCTGGGAGGACCAGCTTAGCGGCTGCTGCTGCTGGTGGTGGTGGAGGAGGTCCAGGCATGAGATGATGGGGTTGAGCGTTTCTGGGAAATGATGCTGGATGTGCAGAGTTGATGGCTCTGAAGAGTGAGTCAACAAGACTTAGCAGGGCTGGTGTGGGCAGTGAGAGAAGTGTGCATGCGGGGGTTTCTAACTGGTGTGTTGAGGTGGAGGAGGGGGAATCGGCAGGAGCACGAATCAAGGGTTAAGAGCTCTGTGACCTTTCCTTACTTTTGGGTTTTCTGATTCTTCCACATGAACATTGAGGGTGGGGGTGGGGGGGCACTTGCTGCACCTACATAGCACCCGATTCTGCCTTTTTTGGTTAAGCCCACACTGAGTAGTTGCCCTACGTATGGGCTCCAATGACCACCTTCCCCTGGCATCATAGCACCACCATTTGTCAGGCACCTGCCATGGGCCTGATGTTGTGTTGGGAAGGGGTTTGCAAAGACACGCCCCCTTCAGCAGTTTATGGTCTGGGGCAGCACATTTTAAATGTTTTGATGACTGTATGTACAGAGGAGCGAGTGACTCTTCCTGGGGGTGTGATGGAGGAGGTGACATTTGATCTGGGTTCTGATGGAGGAATAGGAGCTTTCCTGAAAGAGAAGGTTGGGAGGCTCTTTTGGCAGTGGAACCACAAGTGCCAAGGGACGGAGGCCTGAGAGAGCATGGAGTGGGCAGGGAGTGAGTGCTTCTAGGTGCCTAGAGCACAGGGTGTATTGCACTGAGTG